TTTTAACGCCATATCTTTGAGTGAGATAGCTAGTGTTACAACAGAAGGAAAGATACGGAACCCAAGGTATAATTTCAAGTGATCAAACCGCTGTTTATATATGTACAGTTTACATTCTTTAACCAGTCACTGAGCATGTGATTTCGGATTACATTAGACGACATGAAAATAGCATGTCTAAATAAACATAGTATTCTGTTGCCAATGCAGTATATAACTCTTGAAATATGTGAGAATAATATTCCATTGGCACACATTGTCTGTATCACACCACCACACAAGGACAATTGTTACGCATGCTGAGCCAGTACCCTCTTCGTTGAGTAATGACGGCTGATAGAGGATTAAGTTGCAAAAGAGTTGAGGGTGGTCAGGTCAAAAAGTGTCATCACTTCATGAAGCCTTTAGCTATTGGTTTGCACCCTGTACAAAGTTTGCTTAGATGAATTCATCGAGGTGATAGGAACTAATGGGTCCACAGTGACGTAGATGCATCGACTCGTTGAAATCTCCCATATTCTCAAATCTGTCAGTCTGTTTTCGACATAGAACTTTGCACAAATGTGCGGAAGTTCAAGTCGCCACACTCCGTGTAGCACGCGAAGCAAGAGAAGAAAGTACAAGAAAAGCATAATAGAGACAGTGAGCAGAGGTGTGAGACAAAGGAAGAGTAATAACGAAGAACAAAACAGTTTGATTGGTGGAGATCATAAGTCACAAGGAGTGGATGCATCTGCACCAGACATTGAGAACGATTTTGAGCCATGTCACCAATTGTTTCCAACCATAGATTTTTACCGTCCCGAGGACCCCAACCGGTGAGGAAGTCTACACCTTCCTACGTGGCTTAGACCAACACTGTTGTGGATTTCATTGACTGGTGCCAAGTTTTTGTTTGACCGCCGCTAGCTGTTTTCCAGCCTGACCCTATATCCGCTAACATTGCTCGTCGAGGGAGGCGATGGCTTGGCATATGTAACACATGTCCTAACCATCTCAGTATTTGTAACTTCACAACTTTGTCGATTGATTTCCCCTGTTTACCTAGAACTCGACGCCTAACCTCAATGTTGCTCACCTTATTATGCCACTTTACACGGGAAATAGAACGCAGGCACCTATGATCAAAGACAGCTAGTCTTTTCATGTCTTCCACTCTCAGTGGCCAAGTCTCACAACCATAAAGGAGGACGGAGCGGACTGATGAGCAGTATACCCGCCCTTTCGTCGATAGCCGGATATCACGTCTACTAAGCCAGAGACGGCGTACACTGGCAAATGCGAAACGAGCCCCCTGTATTCGTGCTGAGATTTCGTCAGAGATCGACCCGTTGGCACTGGCTGATGGTACTTCCCAAATAAGTGAAACGGTCAACGTGCTCTACCACTTCACTTCCTATTTTTAAACTAGGCGTCGACGTAGTCCAGTCCAGTCCTGTAACATCATCTTGCATTTGGCGGGAGCGAATCGCATACCAAACATTCGTAGATTGCCGCTCAAGGTGTTTAGAAGACTCTGCATTTCGTCAGCGTCTTCGCCTAGAAGGACTATATCGTCTGCATATTCCAAGTCAACGAGATTATTCCCCGGTAGCAAGTCAATCCCTGAGTCGCTGAAGTCACTTAGGGTTAAGTCCATTAACACATCTATGATGAAATTGAATAGAAAAGGGGATAATGGGCATCACTGACGGACACCACTAGTCGTCAAGAGTTGGTTTGTATGGATTAGATTTGTTTTCTCGAGTTTGACCACGGATTGATATCAGTTAAAGAACCATTGGAAACGAAGGAGTACTGGACAGCTGTTTGATCCTAACTTGGGAATCATCGGAAGTGTGCACCAACTAGGGTTCGAACCCAGGACCTACCGGTTACAAGGCAAGCTGGCCCGTATACCATTCAGCCACTGGGACCCGATTCAATCGCTAGTCTATGAATTCTAACTTCTACCAATTCGTGATTTAGTGCGACCACCAACTAATGTCATCAATGGGAAATCCATCCTCACAGTTGACTGGATGGACCTGAATTGGGTCCCAGTCGCTGGATGGTATACGAGCTTGCCTTGTAACCGGAAGGTCCTGGGTTCTCTCATATTCATTGAATCCTACGGAGTGTCCCTACACTAGTGAAAGGGAAGAGACCGTTTTCTAACATTTTTTTCATTTACGGTTAGTTTTTCTTCCCAAAGCTGTTCGTCATTATTTTAAGTTCTAGTCTATATCATAGTCTGTATCAGTATGAGTCCTCAGAATAATCTATTGCAGTATAAGAATGTATTCGCCAGACAAAAGAAGTGAAAACCCCTCATGAATCTACTTCTGAACACATTTCTTAAACAACACAATATATGTACATGTATAAATTTAGACATATCGACTTTAATAGATGATATGACAATTTAACTTGGTTAGTGATATAATTTCTCAGTAAGACAATTTATTCAGTATAACACCTTAATATAACAATTAGAAATAAACTATGCTTGAAGAATCATCAGTAAATAAATGTTGCTCAGTGGGAACTCAGTTATCCGGTACTGATTTTTTAATTGGTGCTCTATGATGTACCGAACTGGCTGTGTCAAGGCTGATTACATTACCCAGTCACCCAAAGTGAAGTAGGTTGAGTAGACTTGATCACAAGACCTAGAATGGGTTAAACATCTAATTATTAAGGCAAAGAGACAGATTTTCACTAATATATAATACAGCACTGTTATGTAATGCAGTTTGATAAGTGTTTTAAATAACCAAACGGTTATCAAACAGAAATTGTAAATACACGTATTGACCAAATGTGCAAGGCCAGAGATGCTGAAGCCCCAACAGGTTGACCGTTGACGAAATCTCAGCAAGGATACAGAAGACTCGTTTGGCCTATACCGACTTACGCCATCTCTGGCTTAGTAGACGTGATATCCGGCTGTCGACCAAAGGGTATGTGTACCGCTCAGAAGTTCGATCCGCCCTCCTTTATGGCTGTGAGACCTGGCCATTGACAGTAGAAGACATGAAAAGGCTAGCTGTCTTTGATCATAGATGCCTGCGTTCTATCTCCTGTGTTAGATGGTATAATAACGTGAGCATTATTGAGATTAGGTTTCGGTCGGGTTGTTGAGTAAGGCGGGGAAATCAATCGACGAGGTTGTGAAGTTACATCGATTGAGATAGTCAGGACACATGTTACGCATCCACACCCAGACATTGCCTTCCTGTACAGAAAATGTTAACTGATATAGGATGGATCAGATTGGAAAAGAGCTAGCGGAAGTCAAACCAAAGCATGGCTTCATCCGTCAATGAAATCTACAACAGTTAATTTAAGCCACCTACGCGGGGAGGTGCAGACTTCCTGATCGGTTTCTTCGGGGTGTTAAGAATCAAACCAATGTCTGGAGACAACTGGTGATATGGCTCAAAGTCGTTCTCAATGGCTTGCACAGATTCATTCACTCTGTGACTTATAATATCCAGTAAAACTGCATTGTTTTTCCATATTACTATTCTTCTTGCCTCATATCTCTATTTATCATCTCTTTTTACTCTCTTCTCTTGCTTTGTGTGCTACATAGATGGAGTGTGGCGACTCGAACTGCTACAAAACAGTGCAAAGTTGTACGCAGAAACTAGTCCACAGTTCAGAAGTGTGTGATATCAGTAAATAATACATTAGCAGATACTTTAAATATGGCTTCCTCAAATAAAATATACGAAAATTTAACGGAATCTCTTGCAAATTGGCGGTCACTAATATGCACTTTCTATCAAACCAAGATATTTTTATTATACTCAGTGTTTTCGACGACCTAGATAACATTTTTCGAATAAATTGTCTGAGTGCAATTATAAATCGATACTTCTATTTCTTTTTCTTTTAAATATTCATTTTTTAAAATTCAAACTGAAACACAAAAATGCTCAGTGTAATGGTAGTAACAATAGATGCTTTTTATTTGTTTATGAATATACATACTAACAAACATGTTTATGTGTACACATTGTTTGCATCTTCGTTGGCTATGACTCATTTGTACGTTACAAAAAAAATAGTGGTTATGCTACACTGACCTCAATATTTGACAAAAGGATTCAAAAATGTTTAAGTTAACAAAATATCTCTGAAATTTTTTTTCGAACAAATGTTTAATGGATAAGAAACAGCTGTAGAAAACCAACGGCTGGTTATGAATGATATATGGTGATAAAGAAATTCACAGATAGATTTGTGTCAAGTATGTCAGTGAGGAGACTTCGAAAAATTAAGGATGTAACACAAGCACCTCCGTCTCTTAAAAGTTTAGCGAGGATGGAATCTGTGCCATAGATTCCACTGCTATTCACCAAGGGAAGCTACCAAACCTAAAGGAAGGCGTGTTACCAACAGAATAACGTGTTTTCGACTCGGCAGATTTATCAACTCTACTGTAGTGCAGTTAGTCAAGAAGTAGAATCAAACCACGTAAACTACCGTTGTGAATGCACCTATCTACACAGCTAATCCTAATTACTGGATGTCGGAAACGGCAATAGTACTACCAACCTTGACACTATTTATTAAAACGAAAACTGATTACATCTAAGGATATATTCATCCAAGAAAGCAAGACACATAGGCTTTAGAAGACAGATTTATCTTTATTAACAAGATATGTCACGTTCTTTTAACTATCTGTAGGCAAAATAACAAATGAAGAGTAAGGATGAAAACGAAATCGTTGAAGACGAGCAATCGTCTCATTCATAATGTTCCAATTATCGAAGTATGTTGCTAACTGATTACTATTTTGTTAACATATAGTAGGGTGCTTCAAAATCTAGTAGGAAGACTGACAGACATTCATTGTTATATTTATCAGATGTATACTCTATGTGGCGTAAATAAGTTCCAACTATTTCATTATAGGCACAAACTGATGACATAATACACTTTTAAAATCTATCCATCTCTCTCCAAAAAGACAAATTTTCAATAATAAGTAGTCAAAATTATTATAATTATAGCAGCATATGACAGTCACTTACTTGTTCTTCGCTTAAGCCTTCACTTTCCATCATTGATTCCAAAATTTTATACCTGTATAGGGATTAAAAATAAAGAGAACACTTCCATCAGTACAGGTGAATTAAGTCTATATATAGCAGATGACGTTAATCACAACCAACAGGTGGAGACAAACCATGTCATTGACCAGTTATATTAATAATGGACACATTTTTAAATAAACATTAGGAAGGTTTATCATAATGTGACATTATAAATGTTAAGTAAAATATAACGTAACAAACTCTTCCTAGACAACATTACCATTGTACTGTCAAAGAAAGGCTTTATAAGGGCAAACTAAGCACTTGAACTCAACGCAGTATCATGCTAAAAGTTATTTAGTATATAGCGTAAACATATAAGATGTTGGCCCATGGGATAACCCTTCTAAACTTCTATTTACTTAGAGAAAATAGAAAAAATATGTTAAAAGTAATTACCAGAATAAGTAAATGGACAATTTGTTTACACAGTAGATACATCGTTTTAATGCATTACAAGTTGTATGGACTTTGTATATCCATCTGATAGGAAGCTAAAATTACGGTAACTGTCCTTTAGTTTGTAGAAATAGGACTTGATCATAGATGACAGCAGTTTCCCTATGATCAAAAACAAGGAAACATAAAGTAGAACGACGCTGAATTAACAGGTCTGACCAACACCTGAGAGCATACAGTTCAAGGAGATTGATGCATATAGTAGAAAAATTACGGAAAGTTCACATTAGCATAATTTTTGTCTAAATTTCACTCAACCACATGAAAATACAACGTAAGTCATTATCTCACTAGGTGGACAAATAGTTTGAGGTAAGTGGAACAGAGGCGCATCGATTAAAGCTACCCTGTTGAGCCCATCAGATAACGAGATAAACAAAGCATGACACTATAAAGTGAATGAAAAGGGATAATCATTGGTAACTTCAGAAAGCATAACAACTGACCATACCAGCTTTAAGAGAGGCAGGTTTACTCGAACTATCATATATTAGTATTCTCATACCCTGAACTTTAAAATAAACATAGACCCCGCGGTGTCTTATACAAAAGAATAATCTTACAAACAGAAATTAAATTTCTGCATGACCTCTAAATTAAGGGGATAGAATTTGATGGGCATGTAAACATTAAAAATATGCACTAACCTATTTTGACGTTCTCGATATTGAACAATTAAATTATCGTAATAATATTCCAATGTAACTTTGGCAACCTTTACTTTATCCAATGTATGACTGCTGACGTTTAATGAATTTGATGGGGGATTTGCACGATTTAATGATGTGGTAGATGATGACGACGTCAGATCACCGCCTCCAGCACCACCACCACCACCAGAAACATTTATCACTTGACTGCCAGATGTCATTGATATGATGTCGGGTTTCATCATTGTTGCAAGGGGATTTGATGTTAGACTGAGATTGCTATAAGCATGTGAACTTGCAGTTGACATATTTATTTAATTTTCACCGTTTCGCTTTAGATAAGATTATATTTAACATAATTGGTGCCCAATATTCACTCTACAAAAAATAATAAAGATTATTGTCTGGGTTTACATATAGGATAAAATACATGTGTAAGTTTGTGAAATAGGTGAATCAAGACCTTGTTGAAAAAGCTTCTATTAAGTCGTGACAACCAAGAGTTATATAAACTTTGGAGCCCCTGAAAGACACTTTTTAAACATTACGATTGGCTGTACTCCAACAGAACTCCACTTTGTCACAATCTATTTGTGCATCAAGCCAGGACTCGTGAAAACAACCTACGAACTGGGAAAGCACACTTTAGCCCGCATACAATATAGCTCACAACGTGAGACAATAATATGAAGTGGAAAAACTAACAATAAGACTAATATACGTAACTATCAAATAGCGTCACGTTTTATTAGATACACTCATTTAGTTTATAAAGTTACTACGAGCAAATTTGAATCGAACATCGGAGTAGTGTGAAAGCTGTGTAACATGTAGTTCAGCAAGATTCCAGTCATAGAAGCCTTAGGTTTTGCGACAAACAATACGCGTTATCTGCTTGTGATAGCATAACTTGGTGAAATATGGTAAAATTTTACACATTTAAAATTATGACAAAGTTCACTTGACCGTACCGATACCTTAAAACACTTCACCAATTAAGTTGGATGATAAATATCAGGGACATATTCTTTGTGTGGTACGCATAATTATGATGAAGATATGACAGCTCAGCGTAAAAATTCAGTAGCAGCTAATCGAATGTTAAATAGGTATTACAATCTCTACTGATAACTAAAAGATTAATCAATATATTTATTTACTCCCAGCAATTGATCACAAACAAATAAAGTGTTGAATTTAGGCTCCCTCATAGGAAGATTAACACTTGAATTTAGAATAAGAACTAGTAGTGTAAGCTCCTTGAGCCACCACTTTCAAATTTAAACTGGAATTCTATAATGAGTACCACAAGAATTTATGCAGGTTACTGACCAATTATCCTAAATTTAGAAGATATCGTGATGAGGATTCATATAAGCACTACATTTTACTGATAACTTATTTGCCAGGAAGATGTTTCATGAACGACTATGTGAGTCACATCTACTGTTTGTACGAGGGCTGAGACCACAGAATAGTCTGTGACGAAGTGGAAGATTCAAAACAGAGATCCAGTAGGTGGAAGTCGAAAACTCAGACCAATGAACCAAGTCTTTGCGTACATATACTTAGCAATAGCTAACATCCTTACAACCACACCTTTTGTGCTGCACCTTAGAATTTCCGCAGCCAACACTGGAATGATGCGCTACATTTGGTTTTACCTGTGTACACTTCTGCTTGGTCATGTTTGAGGTAAATGTGAGGGTGTTGTTTTCGTAGTTATCCACACAACCATGCTTAAGACAACGGGTCTCACAAGCCGTACTTTAAAGGCATCGAAAGTGAAAAAATTTCACTAAACATTGAGCAACTATCGTAATACCACAGTACCCCACGGGTCAATCTATTCAGAGAAACTCAATTAATTATGCTCTCATATCCACAGTCTAGTCTTTAGTACTGATAACATTTATTCATGCTATTACTGCGAATTTTCATATTAGTAACGCCCTAGACGACATTATATTCCCTTAACCACATGCACACGTACAGACCTACAAACAGCTGTCGGCTTACCGAGAAAACTTTGTTTAGAGCGCTACGCGAGGTGAAGGTCTTCTGCTAATATTTCCTGTGAATATTTGACGTCAATGTTACAATATCCTTTACTGATACCATAGTTACAACATATGGGTGATTCGGGTTTCGGTGCCTTAGAACTTCACTTTTCCAGATGAACTGGGTAATCTGGAGCAAATACCAACTTAGGTAACTCAGTCCATCCTTAAAGGATGGGACAACGCCCCTCATTAATAAACTGATTCATAGTCTTAACTTCAGGAAGCACGGATAATGGAATACGTCTATCACCACAAGCATATTCAGAGGCAATGAATATTGACATAGAGGCACAAAACACGGAAGATTACCCGTTAGATCAAGACATGGTGAGCTCCAATTTGAATACCGCTTCCGCAGCATCTCAATGAATTGATAAAGGTCAGGTTCAAGTGAACAGAATTCCGCATTGCTTTGCAAGGATGCTTAATCGGGAATCGCCTCTACACTTTGGATCAGATCTAGCTGGGTCACTAATGAACAGCATTATTTTATTTTCATAATTATTGTCCACACCCTGACTTCGAGTGAAACACAAGGCTTCAGAAGCACATCTTCATTCCGCTTGGTTCTCTATCATTATTTTCGACCGGCTCCATGACTATCCACGAGCTTACACCTCATCTCGGCATGACATTCCTCAGTAAGCCTGTTAAAGCGGTGGAAGAGAGTTGTTCTTTTGAAGGGACTCATCAACATCGCATCCTATGGCGGCCCAGAAGTAGTAAGTAGCAGAGAAATTCAGGAGGATAGAACGAATAAACAAGCGGGAACTAAATCCTCTTCATGGTCTATAGGGCCTTCTTTATCTACTAAATAATGAACGCCCTTCCATTTGTTTGACTAGCCACTGCCTACTTCACTCGACCTCTGCCGTGCTTAAAAAAATAAGTGTTCGTAAACACCATAAGTCTCCTGTTTTATTGAGAGTCCTTAGTCGGTAATTTAGGCAATTATTTTGGTTTCTGGACTATCCGCTATCTCCAGGGGTGTGGGTTGACAAAGTCCACTTGGGTTAAGGGCAGTATTTCTACTTTTAGTGGTTGGAAATCCCGACTTACAGATGAAACACTCCATGAAACGCAACATTGCTTCAGGAGAGGTAAATTGTGTGTAACAAATCTAACATTAGGATTGAATGACTGAATAGCAGGCTGGGTGTGTATGGTAGAGTCAGTGTCCTATCCCCGATTTCGCAAAGCCATTCGAAATTGTTCACCAGAATATTATCTTTCACTAAAGGTAAGGCCAGTATTAATGCCCCAGAAAGTAGTTTTGTACAAAAGTCAATCGTGTCTGATCATCTTGACATCGTTCGCCTTCGAGAACATCACAGGGCTATATCCCTAGGCCACTGATGTTTTAGATTCCTACTACTGATCTGTCATTCTCTCTAATCTTTTGACTCTCGTTTGTGCCGATGATACAAAGATTTGGAGAGCGATAAAGTGGTCGGAATTACCAGACAGGATACTAGAAGACCGGGCATTCGTCAGTTGCACGACTTTCGGCTTGAAAATGGCAGAATTGTGCAACTAAGAGTATGCAGGCTGCATAATGTAAGTTACTCTCCGTGTAACGGGTAACTTCTGCGTAACGTCAGAGTGAGGTTTAGGTCTGGTTCTAACTGAAAAAGTACAACAGCGTGAATTGCATGCATGACGCGAAGAAGGGAGAAAGCGGCCATGCACTTTACGCATAGACAGTCAGATGTTCTCACCCCTGAGATCTGTCTAGGGTTGTACCAAACATACTTAAGACCACATCCTGAAGGACACAATACCATCGCTTATGCCAGTTAGAAGGGATGCTAACCCCTTCGGGAGAGTCTAAAATGGGCGACAAAGGGGTTTTGGGTCTCCTAAATAAACCATTTGATGAGCTTCTGAAGAAACGAGTTCTCCTCACACTTAGCTACCTCAGCCCAAGAGTGGCTTAATTGCTGTCAATAAAACTAAAAATCACCAGAATCACCCAAACACAGATATTTGGCGACTAGGTACATATGGGCTTCCTCTTGGTTACCCATTAAGTATGCTGCAACACATACCGAAGGCTCAGTGCACTCCCATTTCCTTTCACCTCTGGTGACCTGCTCCTGGCACTCTTCGCCTGCAGATGCGGCCACTGCACTTTCCTTCACTGATACAAGAACTGTGTCACAAAGGTCTATCTCCTTAAATCTAACACCTTTAGTGAGCATACACTCAAACTCGTCCTATCAATTCTGCTCGAAATGCTTCTTCTTACTCTACTGACTACTCTGTCTATTCATTCACTTATCATAAATATATATATCAATTTCAAATTTTTGCACCTTTCTTGTCTCAAGTGTGCAGGATCGATGATGATTACACCTATTATTATAATCACTCTTCTCAACCGCACTGAACTACTAACGTGTCTAAAGACCAACTCCATTCGCAGTAGCAAAACGGTTTCGAAATATCGCCTACTGCGAACTTAATATTACGAATTCTGATACCACTCTTTCGGAATCATCCAAAGCTACAGTAGTCGAGTGAGGGGACCAACTACAAGATGGTTTGGCAGAGGTCACGAGTATTTATTATTATTATTATTTAACTTACAACCAAGAGGCGAGTACGAAAACAGTTTAATTTATATTGATTCCTGAGATAAATACCGTATATTGGAAGTCTTAAACCTACACCCTAGTGTTCGTTTTTCGTTTAGATCCCCCGAGGCAGCTGTGCGTGGTGTTACCCGATAATCTCCTTATAATATATCCTATCCATCCCTATTTCCCTCTACAAACCCGCCAGTTGGTGTGTTCTTCGCCGACACTTTGTTTTCCTTATCGATGTGTTGCAGTTGCGAATGTGGGTGTAGTTTATGTGATACGCGGAGTCCCTGATATATATATATATATAGTTACCCTAACTCTACGATAGTTTAATCAGTACCCTGCCCCTGTGTCTGATTTTGTGTGATGTATATCTCCACACCGACTTCATAACAATGAACAAGTGCCTTGTTTTCTTAACTTAGTCATCCATCCCACTTGTAGTTGAAGCAATCCAAATAATATAAGTGAAAGGCATGGCCTTCTTTATAATTATCCCACCCATCCTGACTGGTGTTTTTTAACAGTAAGAATTATATCGCTCCCAAACTAACTCAGGTGATAATGAGTTTAGTCCGGCCAGCATACTCGGGAAAATGGGTGGCACAGTCAACCTCGTAGCCAAATTGCAGGTCTTTAAAGAGAAAGGGCTAAAAGGCA